AATTTACAGCTCTGAAACCCTATATAGCATTTCTGCTCTGTCCTATAGAGTTCTTATGAGTCAAAATTGACTCAGTGGTAGTTGTTTTCGCAGGTTGGGGGCAGCGGGGGGGTGTGCGGTCAGGAGGTATAGGCTTAGCATGTGGCCCATTAAAGTCATTTAGACCTGCAATTTTCACTAAACAAAGATGGTAGCTGTAGTACATGGGTCAAGCATTAGAAGAGAATACAAGTTTGTGCTCAGTGCTCTCTCTGTTGTTTGGACCAAACTGTTGGGACTTCAGATGTGATAGATGTGGTGCTGGAGAGAGAATTGTGATTCATTTGGAATGAAGACAGACAGCTGAAAAAGTTTATATTGTATTTTCTTTATATTTCAAAATGCTTAATTGTAGGATACTGCGAGATGACACGAGGACAGTGCCTGACTTCCTCTGGCAACACAATCCAACTCCACATCTGCCTAAGCATGAATCATATGAGGCAAAGTTAGGCGTGCCTCCATTCTCCATCCTCCTTTTATCCCACTTTGATACAAACCATCCTTCCCACAGCACTATACTTCTCTGCTAGGTTCAATAAAACATTGTGGTGGCTGCACAGTCAATACTTCCAATTACACAGTTTAGTAGGGAAGCTCACAGGTTAAAAATATTGAAGATGCAGTTCTTTATCTACATTTGTATTTCTTCTCAGACATGTTACTTTCTGGTCCTAAGCCCCTAAGCCACATGGTCCCTTGACCTCTCCTTGTTTAGGCAATTATCACAAAGCTCCTTTAGTGGTGAAAAATGCAAAAAGGACACCCCACTGAACAAGCCAGCCTCTGCTTTTCCTTTTACTCATTCAATGGGCATGGAAGTCCACCCCTCTGCCTCATGGTCTGGAAAAATACTTCTTTGCTTTGTCTCACAGTCTCCGTGCCCTGGTCTCTTCCAGTGCCTCTGCTGCCTCCATGACTATAGGCATGGATCTCACACATGCTCCATCCTCTGAGGGCTCTTCTTCCTTGATGGGCTCGGGATGCCTCTATTTCTGCTTCTCAGATGACTTTGTTTTCTTTGATAGAAAAAGTATTAATACAGTTTATATAGAAAGAACAATCATATATACAAATATTACACAATGGTTTGCAAATAGAGTTACTAGATGTAATCTCAAAATTAAGTATACATCACAATTCCATTTTTGCATAACATTATTTTGTGTGTAATCATTGTGTGTGTTGGGAGACACAAACATTATCCATACATATAAATGATAAAAGGTTACAGATCAAAATATGAATGGTATTTATTATTGGATGTTTGACTGTTAGTTTTAAAGTACTTCTTTAATTTATCTGAAATTCATCATCTTTTCAAAAGTGAATATTTACAGTTATGAAAATGTTTTATGTTTTTTAAATATTAGACAAAACCTTTCTTCCTAATGTTCAGCAGTCATTCTTTTAGTTCCTTCATGTAGTAACCCATTTTATGTATGCTTGCATGGTGAAAAAAATGGTTTAAATAGGAGAGTAATGTACAAAAAGGATATTCTCTTTTCTTTTTAAAAATAATTTTAATGGGGATCCATAAAACTCTTATCACAATCCATCCATCCATTGTGTCAAGCACATTGGTATATATGTTACCATCATCATTCTCAAAACATTTGCTTTCAACTTGAGCCCTTGGAATCAGCTCCTCATTTTTCCTCTCCCTCCCCCCTTCCCCCTCCCTCATGAACCCTTG